GTAAGGGAAAAAAACCACAAAACGATGCTTCTTTGAAGACGTGCTGGAAGACATAGTGGAAGGGATACAACGTGTGTGGTGGTCGAGTTGAGTTTAAATACTCGCGCGCGGCGCGTCTCAAAAACCACAATCGATCACGTGGTCATAACCATGAGTGTGACTTACGTACCAGTGACGAAGACTTGACACAGCAGACATATTAGAATATGATACACAAACAATTTTGTCCCATATTCTAAACCATATTCTTATTATCCAATCAAAGGCCTGCTTCAGAATATTGTTTAGCATATGATGTGAATATGTTTGCTTGTTATATTCTAATATGTCTGTGGTGTGACTTTCGACTCTGACGTGACGATAAAACCCCAGCTGTAGTATCAACACGGTCGAGTGCATCACTACAGGTCAACCACAATCTTGGGTGTATAGTTCACACACCACACTCTGTGTGCTTTTTTCTACTCTTGTCTCAGACAAAAACTGAGATCTTCTTTATGTTGCACTTCTGTTACTATCACTTGTTATACTGTTCTCTTTACTTATAAAGTATGTGTCCATTGGATCTATCTATAGCTTTATTTACAATCAATTAATGTCCTACAAGATCCACTAATTATTGATACAGTGTATTGAGATCAATCAACTCAATTCTAACTATTTTTGGGATAAGTTGTTCTTACAATAGGTGTGGTCAAACCTTGCAATTCAGTGTGTGATTTGTCAGCAACAGTGTAGAGGGGACCCGAAGGCTCAGCAAGGGGACCCAGGCTACAACTATCCTACACAACAGAAATATAGAACACAAGCACCAGAATGTAGTCAGAACTTGTGGAACAGGTGGAGAGAGAGAGTGAGACAAGAGTAGAGTATATAGAGTGAGCCTAAGAGTACAAGACTACCTGGAGTAGACAAGATCAAGACTACAGGACCAGTCTGATCTTGTACACCTATATATACTAAACTACACAAGAGCACTCAGGGAGTATGAGCCACTAAGAATGATAAGCTATGAAGAATGAAAGAAAGAGAAGGTTAAAGATAAAGGTACAAAGAATGAAGGGATAGACAAAGAGTAAGAGACTATAGAATGAACAAAGAATGAAGGGGTGGTCAAAGGAATGGAATGATAAAGTAAGGAAGGGTAGTAGTAAGAGTCAGCACACATATAGTTTATAAACAGTACCCCTGAGGGACAGAAGTCCTAAGTTCTAGTACAGAAGGGTGTAGAACCCTTAGAACTGAAGGTATGAGAGTAGAGAACTATAACATCACCCCCCCTCTAAAACCAATCATCCTGATTGGTGAACATTAGGCTTGGTCAGCAGCTTAGGCATAGGTCAGAATGGTAGAGTTTAGAAATCTGTAAGGCAGAGTTGATACAGAGCACTCAGATAAAGTTGATAGAAGTCTCAGATTGTCTTAGTAGTATGAGTAAGATTCTCAGCAGGTTCCCAAGTACATTCTTCAACTGGGTATCCCTTCTAGTAGATAAGGAACTTGAGCTTTCTGTGTACCAGCTTAGTATTTGCTACATACTCTACTTTGTATTCCAGTTTGGAACTGATGAGTTCTGGTAGAGGTAGTAAGAGTCTTTGTTACAAAGGAAAACCTGGATTATAGTACTAAGACAGTAGAACCTTGTTAAACACTGAGTGTATACACTTCCATGTTGCTAGAAGTTAGAGTTTGTAAGTAGAGGTACTAACCTTCTATTATAAGATGATTAGTTCATCAACAGACAAACCATGAGACAATGACTTCATAATGTCTCAGTTAGAATATATACAATATAAGGACAAGAGACACTGAGCAGTCAATTGTCACCTCACCCCTTGTCTATACATGCCCTCCTTAAGTTGTTCCTCTTAACAGGTTATAAGTCTTAAGCTCCCTACATACACACATCCACTGTACACTCTAAACTCTTTACTTGCATACATTTGCACACATTTGCATCATGGTTCCCCCACATACAGATACATACTGTAAACCAGCCAATGTACCTAAATACTTTGGTCAAAACATTACAATGCTTAAGACTGAAGCAAACTACAAGATGTGGCACTACCACATTGTTTCTAGTGTTGCAGCTACATGCTTTGAACACTTACTAAAGGATGAACTGCAGAACAAAGCTGAGAGGGAGATGGCTAAGGCTATTCATACATGCATAATCAATAACATTACTGACACAATATTGGCAAACTATATGCACTTTGATACATCTATCCCTCAGTTAATGAAAGTGCTTGAAGAATGCTTTAACCCTCAGACAGTATGTAAAAAGGCCATCAACAAATCAGCACTGTTTATTTGTAGAGACTATGTAAAACATTTCAGACATACATTAGACAGACTTGAGGAAGCATACACAACTCTGTCTGCTAACAGTGATCCACTACACAACTCTACATACAAAGCAGCAATATTGCTTACCACTCCTAAGCAATATACACATGTAGTAAATACAATAATACAATCTACTAATGCCTAGAACAAAGGCAAACCAGTTAATGAACATAAGAAAGTTGAACTGAAGTAACTAATCCTTACATTACAGAATGCTTACAACAATTACTGTGCTAAATGAGTACAAGATTCTAATGATTGGACAAAGAATAATGCACACATTAATACAATGTATAAAGCTAATAAGTAGAGGAAATTCAATCTGCCAAATCTGTTCAATCCAACAAAAGCAAAATGTTTCAATTACAGAAAAACAGGACATTTCTCTAAGGAATGCTGTAAACCTCCTACTGAAGCTACAAAGCTTGTACACACCAAACATCAGGCTAACATTGTGTATAAAACAAATCAAACTGTGGAAAACACAACAAACACATTTATTATTGAAAACCCAAACAAAAACAACATTAAATTAAAGGAAAGCAATGTTGAAATGAACAATAACACTTACACTCTTATTCTGAGCAACCAGGACAAACAATTCGAACAATACACTTCCTAGGTATGTACCAATGTATTTACAAATACAATCATAGCTAACAAGAAATCCTATACACAAATGATGGATTTACTCGATTCTGGTGCATCAATACATGCTACTCCTTATCTATTTCAATTAACAGATGTATACAACATAACTCCTACAATTGTAACTATTGCAAATAGGTCAACAATGACTCTTAATCGAGCTGGATCTATGTGTATTGAAATCCTGAAGAATATACAAGAAAAAAGTGTCATAACATTACAAAACGTCTATTACTATCCACAAATGACCTTTTCCCTCATAAGTCAAGCACTACTATGTAGGGAAGGTTATTCTTTTATGTTTACAAACAATAATTGTACTATAACATTACTATGTAATGAATACATCAGACATATACAATTGAGAAATGACTTGTATATTTTGTACAATAATCACTTATTAAAAACAATGAACAAACTATCTATTTATGATATACATAAATGCCTCAGACACATAAGTTACAATTATATTAAACGATTATTAAAGACACAACCAAGTGTACTATCAACTAAAATAACAAACTATGAAGAAAAAGAATGTATTGAATGTATAAAAGCAAATATTGAACATACACCAATACCAAAACTACATCAATCTCCTCTTGCAAATCAATTTGGAGATCTTATTCATATTGATATCATT